ACAAGTCACCTCTCAGCATTAGCAGGTAGCCTGGACCAGCTCATGGATCTAGCAGCTCTGAAAGAAATGGGCCACAGTATATGCCCAACAAAAGAGAAATAGACATTGACTTCACATTTCTAATACCAGAGCCCTGGTCATTAAACTTAATTTTTAAATCATTTATATGACTTAATGACTCTGCATGAAATTTTTAAGCTGGAGGCAAGATGAATAGCACTACAGAGATAATGCAGATGAGGAGAGTGTCATTTACCTACCCTCGTCCAACTAACAAGGGATAGCTGGGGTACTGTAATATGTCCTGAACATTTCAATTATAATGTCATCAACTTAGGACACAAGTGAAAAAGATATTGGCATTTATAAGAGATTGATGAAAATTAGTTTTAAAGCATTAATTTCTCTTAATACCACTAAAAGAACTGTGTGCACCCAGGAGATATTTGATCTGAATTAAGAAACTGATGAAGCAATTGATTGATTGGAATTTAAGCCATCAGTCACCAGATCCATCAACAGCTTCATTTACATTCTAAACAATCCACTCACAGCTCAATAGAATACTCCGTATTAATACACAGTCAATGTGATGCCATGAACAGACTCACCAAGCTGTATTGACAAGCACCCAGCTGCTGTTGTCCAAGCTTGAACACACTGTTATATCTAGGACTTCTGTATTGACTAAGGTTTAAAGACTTTAATTACAGTAAATAATATACAGGTTTTTTTTTTTTTTATGTTGGTGCATTATAGTCATACATAAGACTAGCCTTCATTTTAACATATTCAAAAATGTATATAAAATGCGTAGATCCATTTCAATCCCCAGGACTTCCCCCTTTCCCTCCCATTCTTCCTCCTTTGATCCCCTTCCTCTTTTCTACTGGTCTTCCTTCTATTTATTTATTGCTTTTTAAACACTGAATTATAGTTAAACATAAAAGTAGTTCTGCGACATACTCACACATGCCACAGCATAATTTGGTCAATTTCATTCTGCAGTTCCTCCCCTTTCCCATTCCTCCCTTCTTCTCAATCCCCTTCCTCCACCCCACTATTCTCACTTCTGTTTTCATTAGATATTTTATATATATATATATATATATATATATTCTTTATTTCTCTCTAGGAAAAACACTTGACTCTTAACTTTCTGAGTCTGGCTTATTTCACTTAGCATGACATTCTCCCCATTTCAACCATTTACCAGGAAATGACATATAATTTCATTCTTCTTTGTGGCTGAGTAGAACTCTGTCGTGTTTATGTTTATACCACATTTTCTTTATCCATTTGTCTGCTGACAGGCATTTGGGCTCGTTCCATAACATGGCAATTGTGAACTGTGCTGCTATAAACATTGGTATGCATTTATCACTATAGTTTGCTGATTCTTACCTCTTTTGGATAAAATACAAGGAATGGGACAGCTAGGTTATATGGTGGTTCCACTCCTAGTCTTTTGAGAAATTTCCATATTGCTTTCCAAAGTGGTTGTGCTGATTTGCCATCATGCTCAACATATGCTTTAACAAGGAAGAGAATATGGAAGGAACTGTCAGTCTGAGGGCCCCAATGCTCCTGGTGATATTGAAGGTGAAGTCATAGGCTGAGAGTGAGTGTGCAGGTGGTGAAGGCAAACTGAAGCAGAGACAAGAAAACTCCTTTCAAGATGATGTGTGGGCAGTCAGGAAGAATGTCTTGAGGTTCACAGAGCTGTGTGTCTCCTCTGCCACCAGATGTGGGAGAAGAAGAACTCGAGGGCCAGAGAAGCAGGGTAATGCAGGGTAATGGGGCAAAGAGGGTGTGTGGGAATAGCAACAGTAGTTTCACAGGAAGGTATATTTGTTAATACGCTTTAACATATAAGTTGTACTTTAAATGAGTCCACCTAACTGTATATAAATTTTCCTGAATAAAGCTAAATATATTTAAAAAGCAAAGATTAACAGAATAGAAGAAAAAAAATCAAGATTCAACTATACACTGTCTACAAGAGACACACTTTAGACTAATTCAAAGACACAGAAGGCTAAAGATAATAGGAAACAATATAAACAGTAAGCAATAGAGAGCAGGCATCTCCAGGACACATTAAAGTGATCAAAGGGCCAATCCATCCAGCAGACAGCTATGTGTAACCCAAACAACAGTCACAAATACATAAAGGAGAAATAGAAACAACAGCAAAAATACCTGCAAGCTACACCACTTTACTTTCCACTATGAACAGAATAACTAGATAGAAGACAATAAGATGTGACCAATGCTGCAGACCCACCAGAACTGACAAACACCCACCCACTGGACATGCCACATCTCAGTGACAAAACACAGATCCTGCTCTAGAGCACAGGGGCTCGCTTCAGAACACAGATCTGGGTGAATCTGCCTGAGGCCATAGAGTGTGTTCTCCAACCACAACAGAATGAAACCAGAAATCAGTGATGGTAGGAAATTTAGAAAAATCCACAAATACCTGGAAACTAAACATCATCATCATCAAACAATGGGTTAAAGAAGAAATCACAAGCAAAATTTAAAAATGCTATTGAGAGCATGAAAATGAAAACACAACATACCAAACTTTTTGGGATGCAGCAACAGCAGCATTTGGGTGGAAATGGAATTTTAATGCCTATACTATAAAGACCTCATCTAACTTTCCACCTTAAGAAACTAGAAGTACAAAAGAAAACAGAACCCAAAATGAATGGAAGGAAGTAATAAAGACACTGAAATAAGAAACAGAGAGTAACTGAAAAAAATTATTGAAACCCAAAGTTAGTTCTTTGGAAAGATCAACAAAATCAACAAACCTTTAGCTGGAGTGACTAAGAAAAAGAGGAGCATCACATTATTAAAATCAAGAACAAAGGAGAGGACACCACTACCATCACTGAGGAAATAAAAAGTATTACAAGGGAATACTAAGAACAGTATGCTAACAAATTAGATGGATACAATGCACAAATTCCTAAAAAGACATGAACTGCCAAAACTAACTCAAGAAACAATCTGAAAAGGCTTCTAACAAGAAAATTAGTTTAAAAAAAAAACTCAAAATAAAATCCAGTCCCAGATGACTGCATGGGTGACTTTTACCAAACATTAATGAAGAATTCAATAATAATTCTTCATAAACTTCCAAAAAAGTTGAAGAGGAAAGAACACTTCCTAACTCACTCAAAGGCCAGTACTATACTACCTTGATAGCAAAGATATAAGGAAAAACAAAACAAACAATCAATATATCCTTTATGAACACAGAGGCATAAATCCTTAACAAAACACTTGCAATCAAAAATCCAGCAGCACAGGCTTATGTGCTGAGACTGAGAGGTATCTGTTCTGGCATGTGTACACAGCCAAGGAGATGGGTCTCCCAGGGGCCTCACCAACAGAGTTCCCTCACCATCTGGCAGACTGCTCTATGCAACAGAGCACTGCACCAAATATGCCCTGTGATGAAGGAAGCCTATCACTGTGTTGCTGCAACACTGAGGTAGCTTCACTGCACTCCAGGGAATGACTAGAAATACTTGGAAATGGAGCACTTTATACTCCAATGCTACCCAATGATAGTTTCAAAATACACATGCAAAAACTCTAAAAGCAAATCACACTACTTGTGAAGAAAAAGAGAAGTCTTCCAAAACAGAGATCAAGAAGACAACACACTAAGGAACAACAGCTATGGTAAAGAACAAACCAGCAACTGCAGTGCTTCACAATAGAGATTTATGCCTCCCTCCAACAGAATCCATTTGGCAATGGAAGGGGAGAAGCTTTATTCCAAAAGCAGTCATTCAGGAAGCCACGCTGATGAAAGTTCTGTGCCTTCAACCAGCAGTTTCCAAGGCTGCCATTGAGCTAGAAAGGAAACAGTAGACACATCGCAAAGTACGTGAAAGACTTTCAGCTCCTACTCTCCAGGACAGAGCCCAGAGGCACGGATCCACTTCACTGGACAGGATAAACTAGAAGCCCAGCTGTTTCCAAGAGGTGCAGAGTACCTTACCAATGTCTGCCCCAGTTAGGAACCTAAGAACTCACATTAAATAACACATGATAAAGTAAAGAACCGAATTCATAAGCCACTTAATTCTAAGGTTAACTCCTCTGCTGATGACAGCCTTCTTTGACAAGGTGAATAACTACCAACTCTATAGCTGGCCAAAAAAAAAAAAAAAAAGTATTCACACTAGAAATAATACATGCTAAGCACACAAACAAATGACAATATGCTGAGCTTCCTACAAAATCATGGTTGACGTACTCAACGAGTTTGAGAAATGGGCAGAGAGAAGCTCTGGACACTCGTTGACTAACTGCCCTCAGTCCACAAAGCCAGGTCACACAATCAGGAACTGACTAGAGACTCAGATGAAGAATTAACAGATTTCCAACATGGCCTCTCCAGTCAACCACATGAGGCTTCCCTCCCCTTACTCTTTCCACTTTTTACTTATTCAAAGTTCAGGCCATCTAAATATTGTTTTTCCTGTGAAGAGTAAGGCAACTCACCTAGACAGCACTCTCACATAACCCTAACAGCTCTTGTCACCACTATAGGACCTATACAATAGGATTACTACTGATGGTCATTGTATGTATGGACTCCTATGGATTTTATTCTCTCTGTAAGCAACAATTAATGCCTGGTATGAAGGAAGTGGTAAGTAAATAACTATTTGCTGAATCAATGAATAAAATTGCAAACACAAAACAGCAATCAAGTTTTGAGCAATGACATCATTTAATTAATTATATCTGAATATGAAAGGAAGAAAAACTAATTAAGGTACACAGGTTGTGACAGGATTATTTAAGCCACCTTTGTAAATATCAAGAACTAAAGATTATTAGAAACTAATAAATTCAAAATATTATCAGGGAAATTTTTATAGGCATAAACTTAACTCTTACTTCTTAAAATAACAATTAAACTGCCAAAATACTGAATCAACAACAGTGCAAAAAAATAAAAATACCTGCTTTCTCTGAAGTTCTAAGAAATACCATGTCTGATGGAATTCTTTGATTCTGCAAAGAATAATAAAAAAAAATAATTACCTATATGAAGCTTTACAAATTACATTATTCCATTCCAAAGTAAAACAGCTAACTACAATTAATGTCATCATTAAAATTATGTTGAAATAACTAATATGTTATTCGTTATTTTAATACATCATCCAGAGAGGTAAATGGCATTTAGCAATGACTTACAAAATGCTTTGTGTCGGAAAAGTGTTAAATATTGCCATTTTCACGGCTTCTGTTGAACCTTAACTCACACAACAGCTACTGCCTTATAAAAATTCATCCTTTCCATTAGATGAAAAGGCCCTACGGAGTGAGGGCAGTGACTGTCCAATATCTAACACATAACAGCACATCATTAAAATACAGTGAATTAATAAATGCGTGACTAAGCAAACAAAATCTCACAAAATAGAGGAGCTCTTCTTTATGACAGAAAAGGAACTCAAAGATATATGGCACATAAAAATTTTTACTAGTCACAGTTCAAACATTTACTCATCATTATAATCATTTTATCAATTGGAAACCCTAATGGGAGGGGAAAATCAAGCTAAAAAAATATGTACTTAAAATAAGAATATTTCACATAATTTTCTAAATATGTGTACTTTTCCATATGACAAAGAAATGGCCTAGTCAATAAGTAGTAGTAAAAACAAATACTAAGTTATTAAGGCTGAAATATTATGCTGGATACTGCTATTCTTTCTAACACTACAAAGAAGCATGACCAGTAGATCTCTAAAGGACAAAGATATCTAAAGGTCAAAGAAGGAATCACAGTAGACATTAGAAAATATTGTAAACCGAAAAGATAATAAAAATTTGACAAGAAAGTGAGTACAACAGCCAAAGTCAGAAAGACGTCAAGAGGAAAATCACATAAATCAATGCATACAAAAGAACAGAAAAGAGGCTTGATGTCATCAATTTTGGAGCTTGAAAGCAGGGGAAAAAAATAGCCAATAAATTCCAAAGAAACCACATGGATGTAAATGCATGTAACAGCAAAACTTAATGACACAGAGAAAAACATGTACTGTTATGATTTGGGTCATAAATGTCCCCTAAAGCTTGTGTGTTAAAGACTTGGATCCCAGCAGGGTGGTGCTATTGGGAGGTGATAGACACTTGGAAGTGTGGCATAGTTCAGGAGTAACGTCCTTGGGGGCATGCCCTTGAAGGCCATATCTTGTCCCTAGCCCTTTCCTCTACATACAGGTGTGCTCTCTTCCCCTGTCTTTCAGCTTCCGAGCCATCATGAGATTAGCAGTTTTGCTCCACCAAAAAGCTCCCCACCATGCTGTTCCACTTCACTTCAAGCCCATAGCCTGGATCCAAGCAACTATGGGCTGAAATCTCTAAAACTATGAGACCTAACAAATCTTTCCTTCTTTGTTTTTCTTATGTATTCTGTCATAGCAATGGAAAGCTGACTAACACACACACAAATAAATAGATACATGGATATATACCAGTAACAAACAGCAAGAAACTAAGTAATATTAAACATGTCCATTCCAGTAATAAAAAAAAATCAATATTAGAATAAACTAATAAAAGATGCTCAAGACCTCTAATGAAAAATATAAAACATTACTAGAGAAATTAAACTTAAAATGTATCCTGCTCAGAAATTACAATGTAATTGCAAAGTTGTCAAATGCCCATAGATTGAAACATACAATCAACATACATACAAACAAAATCTTAGTTGATTTTTACCCCCCTCTATTTTGGTGGGAACTGATAAGGGTTTCTCTCAGCTATACAGGGAGCTGCTAATGCCAAGAATAACCAAGAAGAGAGTGAGGACTGACTCTACAACTTAATGACACTAGAAATAAAACTGGACCAACTAATACAAGATAGCATTTCACCAGTTTTGCCCATGCAAAACTGGGAAATCCAGAGATGAGCACACATAGATTTATAGGGTGACACTACAGACCAACAAAAAAAAATGGGTCTTTCCAATAAAAAGTACTGAGAAAACTGGATGCCCAAAGGGGAGGTGCAGGAATGATACCTGACCTCTATGCCACACTATAATTTTAAATGTAAAAGTAAACCCAGCAAAATCTCTAAACGATAATCCAGAATTTATTTTCTTTCTCTGCTTAATTGTCTTGTCACTCATTAAATATTATAATAGTGTTTTATGACTTTTTTGTAGGAATTTTTTATTTTATTTTATTGGTACTGGGAAATGAACCCAGAGGCACTTTTCCATTGAGCTACATCCTCAGCTCCTTCTTTATTTTTTATGTTAAAACAGGGTCTTGTTAAGCGGCTGAGGATCTTCGTAAGTTGCCCAGGCTGTCCCTGAACTAGTGATTCTCCTGTCTTAGCCTCCCCAAGCATTAGGATTACAGTATGTGCTCATCACCACCAGAAAATTTTTTTTTTAAAAAAGAACTAAGCATAAATGAGAAGATTAATAAAGTATAATTCATTAAAATTAACAACTTCTGCCCACCAGGAGGGAAGAAAGAAGATACGTACAGCATATATAACAACACTGATTCACAATACACAAAGGCCTACACACTGACCAGAAAGAAGGGCTAATTAAGGGAAAACAAAACTGCAAGATATCTTCAAGGTCTATTTACTAATAGACCTGCAGACCTGCAGAACCATATGAAAAGATACCCAACTGACTAGACTTCAGACAAACGCACACTAGGATCACAACTACAACACTCACATCAGAAATGTAAATTAAAACAGCTGGCAATGCAAGTGCTGGCAAGCGGGAAGTCACTGCTGATGAGAGCATAAATGGATATGCCACTGTGCACAGAACACACTCATACCCAACACCCACTGCACTCCTGGGTACATATGCAACATCCATGTGTGCATGTACATGTCAGGAGACAGTTCAACAACACAGATGTATCTACCACTCCTGAGGGCAAACCTCAGAAGCAAACCAAATACACATTAATTGTGGAATGAATAACGGGCACCTGTCCAAGCACATGACCTCACTTTTTTTTTTTTTTTTTTTTTTTTTTTTTAGTACTGGGGATTGAATCAAGGGGTGCTTAACCACTGAACCACACACATCCTGCCTGCTCCCCACCGTGTTTTTGAGACAGGGTCTCACTAAGTTGCTTAGGGCCTCAATAAGTTGCTGAGGCTGGCTTTGAACTTGTGATCCTCCTGCCTCAGCGGGATTACAGGCATGTACCATATCTGGCCTCATTGAATTTTTGAAGCATCCTTATCAAGAATCAACAAATTAACCATAAATTTCAACCTTTACTCCTAGATTCTCAACTTCAAAAACAGACTAGTATATGCTGTATAAACTACTGGAACTTTGAAATGAGTATGCAGAACTTGTTCAACTTTTCTCAAAATTGTTTTCCATGGAATTCTAGAGATCAGCTTGGACAGTATGGATCTACAGATCAGTTTGGAAAGTACTGACATTTTCACAACATCACCATTTGTATCTATCAATATGAGATGTCTACATTTACTTAGGTCTTCTTTAACATGTTTCAAAAATGTTTTGAATTTTCAAACTACAAGGTTTTTATTTCTTTTGATAAATTTATTCTTAAGCATTTTATTCATTTTAATACTACCATAAATGAAATTTTTTCTTAATTTCACTTCAGGCCATTACTCTTCATTCTCTAAACCCGTCTTATTTTCCAAGGAGTCATACATGAACTAGATGATTTCCAGTTGTTTTTAGATAGTATTTGTTTATTTTCCTCCCCTTAAAACCATGACCAGTCTGAAAGGAGCACCTTGTTTTTCCTTAGCATGCTTCCCCATGGTGTTGACACACAACAGTATGTCTGCCCAGTCAAATCTGTTCACAACTTCAGGACTGTTTCCAATTAGGAACTATTATGGAAAATGGAGATGTAAACTTTCCAAAACAGGATGCTGTATCGACATAAATTATAATCTCTCTCTGTGTAAAGGTATTTAGAAGTTTGACTATTGGCCATATGATTGTAGCACATTTGTTTTATTTTTAAATAAAAAATAATCTCACTCTGTGTAAAGGTATTTAGAAGTTTGACTATTGGCCATATGATCGTAGCACATTTGTTTTATTTTTAAATAAACATATTTCAAACACTGAAAGAAAATGGGTTCCAAAGAAGAATCGTGAATCCAGCGAAATTAAGCTTCAGGATGGAAGATGAAATTAAAACCTTCCACGATAAACAAAAGTTAAAAGAATTTGCAGCTAGAAAACCAGCTCTTCAAAACATCCTTGGCAAAACATTACAGGAAGAGGAAATGAAAAATAACAATGAAAACCAACAGCGGGAGATAGTACAGTAAAGGAAAAAAATAATCAAAGAGGAAAAATAAATGTTAAGTAACATAAATAAACAAATATGGCTGGAAGTACAAACCATATCTCAATAGTAACCCTAAATGTTAATGGCTTAAACTCACCAATCAAGAGACACAGACTAGTAGAATGGATCAAAAAAAAAAAGATCCAACAATATGCTGCCTACAGGAGACGCATCTGATAGGAAAAGACATACATAGACTGAAGGTGAAGGGTTGGGAAAAATCATACCATTCACATGGACCTCGGAAGCAAGCAGGAGTGTCCATACTCATATCAAATAAAACAGACTTCAAGCCAAAGTTAATCAAAAGGGATAAAGAAGGACTGCTCACGGGAACCATACACCAACAAGACATAAAAATCATAAATATATATGCCCCAAACAATGGTGCAGCTACGTTCATCAAACAAACTCTCCTCAAGTTCAAGAGTCAAATAGACCACAATACAATAATTATGGGAGACTTCACACCTCTCTCACCACTGGACAGATCTTCCAAACAAAAGTTGAATAAAGATAAACTATAGAACTCAATAATACAATTAATAACCTAGACTTAAATGACATATATAGAATATACCACCCAAAATCAAGAGGTTACACTTTTTTCTCAGCAGCACATGGATCCTTCTCAAAAATAGACCATATATTATGTCA